GCTGTCACTGTACAACACTGGGGTACAGTACTGGTGGGGACAGTGCTATCACTGTACAACACTGGAGTACAGAACTGGTGGGGACAGTGCTGTCACTGTACAACACTGGGGTACAGGTCTGTCATTGTAAAACAATGGGGTACAGAACTGGTGGGGACAGGTCTGTCGCTGTATAACACTGGGATATAGAACTGGTGGGGACAGGTCTGTCGTTGTATAGAACTGGACATTGACCTATCATGGAAAAATTCAACTTTTACAGTCATCTACACAAAAGTAGCATGCTGTCAGAATTGAGTTACTCCTATCCCTAACATACTTTAAAAACAGTCAGTCACTCTTAAATCTCACCGTTTTCTGGAAAAGGTAGTTGCAAAAGTGGGCGGGATAAATATAGACTGCATTTTCCACTCGCAACAGAATCTAAAACAATTGCTGACTTTCATCTGTCACCTGCTCAAGGTGTTGCCTCCAGCAAGAGTTACAGCACTACATGGGCCGGACTCTCTGTAAACTCAAAGCCAATTCTTCCAGCTGAGGCCATTTGTGAACATAGTCCTCATCGCAGTCTTCACACGTGCATCTTTCAACAGGAAGCAGCAACAGAATTTCCCAAAAATACTGACATTCTGAAGAAGGGTCATATTAGACTAGAAACAAAATTCTACTGCACCTACCAGACCTGCTAGGTTCTGCCAGCACTTCAATTTTTTTTTCAGAATTTCACAATAGTGTAAAACCTGGCAGGCAAAACAACTCACAAATAGCGATACGGCATGGGCCTTGACAACATTCCAACAATGGTGCTAAAGACACCTGCTCCAGAATTCGTCACAGCCCTAATTATTCCAGTAAATACAACATTGCCAACTATCCCATAACACTGAAAATTGCCCAGGTAGGTCCTGTCCACAAAAAGAGGGTAAATTAACTTGGCCAATTAGCACTCCAGTTCACTTCTGATCATCAGCAAAGTGATGGATTAGATCACTGATAATGCACATGTAAATACCCTATCTTTATTTTACTGTATTTTTGATTGAGGACTAAAATGAGTAAAACAACTGTTTTGAAAGCCAAGGATTGTTGAAGGAAAACTGCACTTTTTAAAAAGCAATTTACCTGACACTCATTGTCGGTGCAATTTACACAGCTGCTTGTGTTTAGCAGTGGGAGAAGGTCTAGTCTGCAGACGAACTGGTGCCAAGGGGAATATGCGAATGGAGCTTCGGCAGGACAAGTAGCTGATTGGTCAGTGGATTAACGATCAGTTGTCATTGACAAAGGCCTTTCGCCTGCCAACAACCGGTTGTCTCCTGTTTGAGGGAGAAACCATTGGATCATCGGAAGCTGTTTTTGTTGTGATGTAAAAATCATCTCAAGCCTAAAGACCGCTGGCTTATTTCCCCTCATCAGTTCTTATAAATTGTGATTTTAATAAGGCCTACACCTTTATAAGTATAAAGCAGTCACCCTGTGCCTCCTGCAAACAAATGAAAGTACCTGGAGAAAAAGAAGATTATGAAGCAACATTCTGATCAGAAAAAGAATTATCTCAGCAAACCCTGTGCAATGGGAATACAGAACTGCATTCCCAGTCTTTCCCTCCACCCATAGGCTTTTCCATTTCTGTCTGTATGTTGAGAGGGGAGTTTTACATGTAGGATAGAGTTTTAACTAGAATTATATTCTGATGGTTCATAATTCTTTATCTGTAGTCAAATTTATTTATTGGAAATAAACAGTAATTCTTGTTAAGTATATAAACCTGCCACCAAGCTGTCACCCTGGATTGAAAAGACAGTGAAATTGGGGAACCCTGCACTGTTCAGTAGAACTGTTCACTTATGTGAAGATTCTAGGAATAATAGGGTTTAATTTCCAAAGCACCACTCCACTTGGCAACAACTTGCTCGCTGACACTCAGTTTGGGTTAGACAGAGCCACTCAGCTCCTGATCTCATTACAACCTGGACAAAAGGGACTGAACTCCAGGGATGAAGAGAATGTGATCACCCTCCTCTTGCCTGGATGGCTGAATTCCAAAAGAATTCAAGAATTTCAACATCATCCGGGACAAAACAGCAGGCTTGTTCGACATCCCATCCACAACCTTCGACATTTTAGCAGCTCACCAGGAAACCTTCGACAGCATGTTCTAAATTTGTGGCCTCTACCAACTAAAATGACAAGTGCAGCAGACACATGGGACAACCAGCCCCTCCAAGGACCACAACAATCCCAATTTGAAACTGTATTGCTGGTTCTTCAGTGTTGCTGGGTCAAAAATCATTAAATTCCCTCCCTAACAGCATTGAGGGTGTACCTACACCAAACCACTGCAGTAGTTAAAGGAGGCAGCTCGCCACCACATTTGAGGGCAATTAGGGACAGACAGTAAATGTTGACCAATCCAGCAATTCCCACATCCCGTGAAATTAAAAAAAACGTGCTTCTGGCCATGCTGTTTAGTGATAACTAACGGACTTCACCAGAGAGAACTGTCTGTATGTGTGGCAATGGAATCTTATACAGCCACCCTGAGAAAGCAGACAGAACTGCAAATGAACCTCTTGTGACAGACAGAACCCTTGGTCATGCAGCATCCCCTTAGTGCTACCTTTGAGTACCAGCCGAGACTCTGTGCTCGAGTCTCTGGAGTGAGTCTGAAATCCACAGTCAGAGTCCAAGGCGATGCTGCAAATCACTGGGGCAGAGCTTATTAATTGGTGCATTTGCTCATTAACCAGAGATGTTGTCAGGTTGGTATGAACAATAGAACAAAGATTGTTCTCATTGAGTGGAAACACCCACTTGCAAACCTGTTCCTCCTGTACACATGGAAACTATAACAAAAAGTGTCAGGGAGGAGGTATTTCAAGACTGAGTCCTTCAACCTCATTGTGATGGAGCCTAAAGATATCCAAGACTATGCTCCTTGGACATATCTTCCAAACCCACGAGCACTACCGTCTAGAAGGTCAGGAGCAGCAGATACAAGGGAACACCACCAAGTGAAACTTCTCCTCCAAGCCACTTACCATCCTGACTTGTAAATGTATCACAGTTCTTTCAGTGTCACTGGGTCAAAATCCTGGAATTCCCTCCTTAAGGGCATTGCAGGTCTACTTACAGCACATGGCATGCACCAGTTCAGGAAAACAGCTCACCACCACTTCTCAAGGGCAACTAGAGAGCGGCAGTAAATGCTGACCTACCCAGCGGTACCCACAACTCGAGGATGAACTTTTTAAAGAAGTTACAGCTCCCAAATATTTTCAACTTGGAAGATTAAGAGAATTAGTTTATAAGGCACCTCTACTAGTGTCGTTTTGTAGGTAACTGTGGCAGTGACTTTGTACACAGCAAAAATGAGATCCGTGATCAAGCTGACCTGTCTCAGTCGCTTAAATTGTGTGTGAAGGTGTCCCATCGCTTTACTGAGCAGACAGAAAAGGTCAGTAAGACACCTCAAATGGTGGAGTGTTCACTCATTGCTGCATGGATGTATCAAACAAGATTATAGGCTCAAAGTTTTGGAAATGGTGCTTAAGCCTTCTGTTTCTAAAGGGAACTTGGTAAAGGAAAGTGGTTTTAAGGCAATATTTGTTAACAGATCAAAGGATACTTCCATTGACCCCAAATGTTCAGTTTTCAAACTCTGCCAAACAAGATTAGCATGATTTTAAAGCAAACATTCAAGGTGGTGGATGGACATTTTACCTTCATCAATCATTAGAGAACTTACCGTTAAGGATTTTAGGGCAGACAACGGAATGGCCGCTAGGATAATGATCTCGAGTCTTCTTCAATTGCTTCTTGTGAAAGATGTACCCTAGTCTTGTTCTTGTATACAATGTGTACCTAAGACGACAGCGTTGGATATTAACAGGTGGGGAAAGGGAAAGAGAAACAGCAAGTGCTGTAACTGAGTCACATTAAAGGATTGTCTTAAAACTAATTAGTGCAATGATCCCAACACGAGACAAGCCAGAACACAAAATGAAACCTGAATTGTTTCTTTGTTCCTCTATCAACCTGTTTGAATATGTTGTGACACACCCCTTACCACAGGTGGAACATGAACCTAGGCATTCTGGCTCAAAGCTAGGAACAATTCCACTCACTAAAGGATCCCAAATTTTGAGATGCATCTAGTTTGCTAGTCCATGAGTTTTACTTTTTATCGATGGGTTACCATATTCACAAGAGGCTGCCAGTGTACATTTAATAGAAGAACAAAGTTGATTTGACACAAAAGGGGAATATATTCTACACCACACAAGAACTAGTTGACAGTCTTATTATAAATACCAGAAATAAAGATTCAACCCTTTCACCCTCAACAACAACCTTAGAGATGTCAAAACCTCCATGAAGGATAACTCTGTTTCTACTTGAGAAGTCCCTTCTTTAGTTCACATCGCTGTACTTGATTTCTTTCCAGGTCAACTTCCTCAGTTAATGTCTCTTCATGAGACCTCTAAACAAACTGCTAACACAGCTCATGTTTCTTAACATGGATTTCTTAAACTCTTCTTGCACAGCTTTCCATTCTACTTTCTGTTACTGGTATTAAACCACTTGAGACTTCTTTTCTCCAGTGCTGTCAGTTCTTGGAATCTGATAAACTGCATTGCTGCTCTTATACACTTTCTTGTCAAACAACCTGCTATAATGTCTGAAAGAAACCTGTACACTCTCAATCATTCTGGATGGTTCTCACTTTCTAAAAGGAAGCTTGTTTCTGTCTCTGTTTCTCTGCGCCAAAGGACACCTTATTGCTTTGCAATAGCCCAATTTCTTTTTCTCTTTTGTACACTGGTTTTTTAAAGCACTGGACAACTCATGTCAAGGCTATTTTTCACCCCCCTCAAAAAACAGCCTCATTTAATGCATATAAACACATTTCCAAAGACCATTCTCATATTTCTCTGAGGGAAGTGTATTGAGATGGATAGAAAACTGGTTGGCAGAGAGGAAACAAAGTGTAGGAATTAATGGGTCCTTTTCAAATTGGCAGGCAGTAACTAGTGGGATGCCACAGGGATTGGTGCTGGGACCCCAGCTATTCACAATACATATTAATAATTTGGATGAGGGAACAAAATATAACCATCTCCAAGTTTGCAGATGATATCAAATTGGGTGGGAGAGTGAACTGCGAAGAGATCCTTCAGCATGATCTCAACAGGTTGGGTGAGTGGGCAAATCAATGGCAGATGCAGTATAATTTGGACAAATGTGAGGTTATTTACCTTGCAAGCAAAAACAAGAAGGTAGATTCCTACCTGAATGGCGGTAAACTGGGAGAGGGAAGCGTGCAGGGGGACCTGGGTTTCTTTGTGCACCAGTCGCCTAAGGTAAGCATGCAGTTGCAGCAGGTGGTAAAGAAGGCAAATGGTATGTTGGCTTTCATTGTGAGAGGTTTCGAGTACAGGAGCAGGGATGTGTTGTTGCAGTTATACAGGGCCTTGGTGAGGCCACACCTAGAATATCGTGTGTAGTTTTGGTCTCCTTTTCTGAGGAAGGATGCTCTTGTTCTCAAGGGAGTACACCGAAGGTTTACAGGGCTGATTCTGGGGACGGTGCATCTGACGTATGAGGAGAGATTGACTAGGATTGGTTTTGCTACAGTTCAGACAAATTGAGGGGGGCAGGGTGGATCTCATAAGAGACTTATGAAATTCTAACAAGACTAGACAGGGTAGATGCTGGGAGGATGTTCACGATGGTGCGTGTGTCCAGAACCAGGGGTCACAGTCTGAGGATTTGGGGTAGACCATTTAGGATGGAGATGAGGAGACATTTCTTCAGCCAAAGAGTGGTGAGCCTGTGGAATTCATTACCACAGGAAGTAGTTGATGCCAAAACATTGAATGGATTCAAGAGGTGACTTGATATAGCACTTGGGGTGAATGGGGTCAAAGGTTATGGGGGGAAAGCAGGATTACGCTATTGAGTTGGACGATTAGCTATAATTGTGAAGAATGGCGGAGTAGGCTCGAAGGGCCAAATGACCTCATGTTCCTTTGTTTCTACGTAATAAAATTATGTCCTTCACTTCATGACCCACACAATATTGAAAAATCAAATCAAACTTAAAACTATTGAGCATTCTGACCATTTCACAAATTTCAAAATGATACATTACTTTTTTATGCAGCAATTGGTTAGGATCAGAAATGCACTGCTCATGTGTGGAAATGGGCTCAACTGAGCATTTTTCTCAAATTCATGGGATATGTTCATTATTGACTAAGCAAGCATTTATTGTGCATCCTTAGTTGCCCTGGAGAAGCTGGTGGTGAGCTGTCTTCTTGAATTGCAGCAGTCCATTTGTTGTTAGGAGGGAATTACAGGATTTTCAACCAGGGACACTAAAGGAACAGCAATATATTTCCAAGTCAAGATGGTGAGCAGCTTGGAGGGGAACTAGCAGATGGTGTTGTGTTCCCATGCATCTGCTGCTCTTGTCCTTCTACATTGTAGTAGTCATAGGTTTGTAGTGGTCATGGTTTGGAAGATGCTAAGGAGCCTTGGCGAATTTCTGCAGTGCATCTTGTTTTTGGCACACACTGCTGCTACTGAGTGTCCATGGTGGAGGGACTGTGTGCTTTTGGATGTTGGTGTCAATCAAGCAGCTGCCTTATCTTGGATGGTGCCAGGCTTCGACTGTTGTTGGGTCTGCCTCCATCCAGGCAAGTGGGGAGTATACCATCACACTCCTGCCTTGTGCCTTGTAGATGGCGGACAGGCTTTGGAGTGACAGGTGTCAAGTTACTTGTTGCAGACTTCCTAGCTGCTGACCTGCTCTTGCAGCTATTTATGTGGTTGGTAACGATTAGTTTCTGGTACACAGTAAACCCGGGATGCTAACAGTGTAACAACACTGACAGGAGGAGTAATAAAGACCCATTATTCCACAAGTCATACAAAAGGTGGAAACGTCTAACTTAAAATCACCAAAATGGTAAATATCTGAAACAAGTGTCACCAAGTTTCTTCAGTAAACTTAAAAACAGCTTACAACAATATAAATGTGTATAAGTTATCATATTAGAATTCTTTGAGGAGGTAACAAACAAGAGAAAAGGGAACCAGAAGATGGAATTTATTTGGATTGCCAAAAAGTGTTTAATAAGGTAACATACATTGAGGTCTTCTTTCTTACGTAACCTATGGTGTTGGGTAGGTATATTAGCATGGATAGCAGATCGGCTATCTAATAGAAGACAGAGAGTTGGGATAAGTTGGGGGTGGGGGGGGGAGGCTGAATTTTCAGGATGGCACCTTGTAACTTGTGGAGTGCCACAGAGATCAGCATTGGGGCCACAATTATTTACAATACATATTAATGACTTTAATTAAGGAGGTGAACGTACTATAACCAAGTTTGTGAATGGCACAAAAATAGGTGGGAAGGCACATGATGTGGATGACACAAAAGTTTAGGACGTAGACCAGTTAAACGAGTGGACAAAAACTTGGGCAGATGGAATATAGTGTGGGGAAATGCGAAGTTGTGCACTTTGGCAGGAAGAGTAGAGGCGTTAAATATTATTTAAATGGAGAACCGCAGGAATCAGGATTTGGAAGTCTTGTACATAATTCACAAAAATCTAGTACACACTTTCAGCAGGAAGGCAAATGGAATGTGTCCTTAATTTCAAAGGAAATGGAGTATAAATTAGAAAAGTCTTGCTAAAACTATACAAAGTACTAGTCAAACCACAGCTGGAATACAGTGAACAATTTTGGGCTCCTTATCCAAGGAAAGATATAATGTAATTAAAAAAGGTAGTCCAGAGAAGGTTCACTAGTCAAATACTGAATACGGAGGGAATTGTTTTACAAGGAGTGAGTAGGTTGGGCTTGTACCCATTGAAGTTGAGGATCTTGTTGAAACATACACGATTCTTAGAGGGCTTCACAGGGGAGAAGCGGAGATAGTTTCCGCATGTGGGAGAGTTTAGGTGCAAAGGGCATAATCACAGAAATAAGAAGTTAGGACAGAAAGGAGGAGAAATTCCTTCTGTCAGTGGGCAGGAATTCTTTGCCCAGAGCGCTGTAGACGCTGGATTGTTCAGCATATTCAAGGCTGAGACAGACAGATTTTTAATCGGTCAGGGAAACAAAGGTATGGACAATGAATGGGTTGAATGCCTACTTTTGTTCCCATGTATTATGGTCACTTGTTCACTAAGAACAAACTGTCACTTTCTTGCTGCTTGGCTGTAACTCATCCTGTGTAATGGGGTTCACTAAGTTGACACCTTGTTTTTAAAAGTACACTTGGTGCTGCTCTTGGCATGCCCTCACTTCTTCAGTGAACCAAGGCTGATTTCCTGTCTTGATGGTAGATTAGGGTAATGCCAGGTAATGAAATTACAAATTGCATTTGAATACAATTCTACAACTACTGATGGTCTACAGCACCTCACGGATTCCAGTTTTGAACTGTTAGATCTAGAGTCATACGGCACAGCAACAGAGCATTTGGTCCAACTCATCCATGTTGACCTGGATTTTCAAACTAAACTACTCCCATTTGCCAGCATTTGGCCCATATCCATCTAAATCCTTCCTAAATCCTGTCCAAATGTCTCTTAAATGTTGTAACCTCATCTGCCTCTACCACTTCCTCTGACAGTTCATCCCATATATGGGCCACCCTCTAGATGAAAAAGTTGCCCCGTAAGTCCCTCTTAAATCTTTTCTCTCTCACCTTAAACCTATACCCTCTAGTTTTGGACTCCCCAACCCTGGGGAAAGAACCTTGGCTATTCACCTTATCTATGTCCCTCATGATTTGATAAACATCTTTAAGGTCACCCCTCAACCTCAGACACTCAGGGATAAAAGTCGCAGCCTATCCAGCCTCTCCTTATAACTCAAACCCTCCAGTCCCGGCAACATCCTTGTTGTATCATCCTTGTGGAACAAAACAGGAGTTGCTGGAAAAGCTCAGCAGGTCTGGCAGCATCTGTGAAGAAAAAACTCAAAGTTAACGTTTCCGGTGACCCCTCCTCAGAACTAAGGATCCTTTCTGCATGCTTTCCAATTTAATAACATCCCTCCTATTGCACGGTGACCAGATCTGTTTGAAGTCTGTCCCATTTTATACAGTAATGGTGCCACAAAACATAAAGGATATCCTCAGTGCCATTAAATGTCATGGGGCAATGATTGGATTCTGTTCCTTTGGAGATGGTCATTGCCTGGCAATGATCATGGAATAATGATCATGGAAATATTGCACTACTGTAAAAACTCATCTGCTTCAGTCATGCCCTTCAGGGAGGGAAACCTCAATCCTATTCTGACATAGGCATTGATCTCTGCCTTATTGCAGCCCCACAGCAATGTGGTTGATTGCCCTCTCAATTGGTCTACCAATCTATTCAGTGGTATTTCAGAAGATGACACTCCACCACTTTCTCAAAGACAACTCAGGATGGACTATCAGTGACTGTTTTGCCAGTAATGTGAACATCCTGTGGCTAACTAAATAAAAGAATTAAGTGTTTTAGATCAGGGTCAGCATGCAGAATACTCAGGTCCTCATGCCACTGCATTAATCGCTCAACTCTAACCTCAGAAACTCATGCCTGAATGAGATGAGACAATGACTCTATGATTGAAATATGCATCAATCCACATAGGTCTGTTTCCAGAATTTTTGTTTCCAAATTGCTGTTTTCAAAAACATTTCATTGTCCTGATATGAGGCTGTTAATGGTATCAACATCTAATTGAGCAATGTATGATTCTCTAACTTGAGGGATTCTTAAAACAGCTTGTGCTTCTTACTCCCATTTGTACAGAATTTGTTTTTTGCTGCCGTAATTTTCTACATTCAAAATTACTCGGTCGCCAGGCAGCAAGTGGCAAATGATGGGGCCTTGACCAAACTCAGCAACTCCAACACTTCACCAGGCTACCAGATTTTTGGGACGGCACGGTGGCTCAGTGGTTGGCACTGCTGCCTCACAGCGCCAGGAACCAGAGTTCGATTCCACCCTCGGGCAACTGTCTGTGTGGTGTTTGCACGTTCTCCCCGTGTCTGCATGGTTTTCCTTCAGGTGCTCCGGTTTCCTCCCTCAGTCCAAAGACGTGCAGGTTCGGTGGTTGGCCATGCTAAATTGCCCATAGTGTTCAGGGATGTGTAGCTTAGTTGGGTTAGAGGGGATGGGTCTGGGTGGAACGCGCTAAGGGTTGGTGTGAACTTGTTGGGCCGAAGGGCCTGCTTCCACACTGTTGGGATTCTATGAAAAAAAATGAATTTCTTTATTCATTCACGGGCTGAGGGCATCGCTGGCTAGGCAGCATGTAATGCCCATCCCTAATTGCCCAAAGAGCAGTTAACAGTCAACCACATTGTTGTGGATCGAGAGTCACATGTAGGCCAGACCACGTAAGGATGGCTAAAGGACACTAGTGAACCAGATGGGTTTTTCCAACAATTGACAATGGATTCATGGTCACTGTTAGATTCTCAATTCCAGATATTTTATTGAATACAAATTCCACCATCTGCTGTGGTGGGATTTAAACCCAGGTCCCCAGAATGTTATCTGGGTTCTGGATTAACAGTCCAGCTTTAATACCAGTAGGCCATCACCTCCACATTGATTTATGTGATCGAGTGCTACAATGGGACTTGAGCCCAAAACACGTGTGTAAGTGAAAGTGAGAGATCATAACAGAACCAACTCTGTGTTGGAGAGATGATCATTCTCTCATCACCACTCCTCCCTGTCCCCAGTGATTTACTACCGGTGACTACCTGCAGTAGTGCTCTCTGAACATTATACCATTATTCCCAAGCTCCAAATACAACATGTCCTTCCTCTTCCTTGTTTATACCTTGCTCTCTTTCTTCTATTAAAGTTCATCTGATTCCAGGCAAACTTTCCAGGGAAAGCAAATGGAATACTAGGCTTTATTTCAAGGGAATAGAGTAGGAAGAAGGCAGGTCTTTCTAAAACCATGCAAAGTACATCAGACCACACCTAGAATAAGGTGAATAGTTTTGTTCCCTTTATAGAAAACATTGGAGGCAGTCCAAAAAAAGTTTTTCCTGAATATGGAAGGAGTTTCTAAGAAGTCATACAGTCATGAATAGGAAAGGTCAAGAGGGATATAGGCTAAACAAAGGCAAATGGACTAGTTCAGTTTGGGAAACTTGATTGGCATGGAAGAGTTGGACCAAAGGGTCTGTTTCTGTGCAGGAGAGATTGAGTAGGTTGGGCCTATACTCATTGAAGTTTAGGAGACCTTATTAAAACATCTAAGATTCTTAGAAGGCTTGAGAGGGCAGATTCAGAGAGATGGGAGGATCAGAGGATATATCTTGGAGAAAGCAGTCACTCATTTAAAACAGAGATGAGGATTTTCTTTCTCTTCGAAGGTAATGAAAACATGGAATCTCTACCACAGAGGGTTGTCGAGGCAGAGTCATAAAGCATATTCAAAGCTGACAGACGGATTTCTAATCAGTAAGGTAATCGAGGGTAATAGGGGAAAAGGTAGGAAAGTTAGCAGACTGGATGCATTAGTACTGATCTTACATCCCACGGTTTTATGATCTCATTGAATGGTACCGCGGAATCAATGGCCTACTTCAGCTCCTAATCTTATAGCTTTCCAAACTCATCAAATGACGGAGCAATCCATTAGTCAAAATGGTCCATTCGCTCCTACGCCTTGCAATCTCATTGAACAGAACAGCAATTCCAATGGGCTGAATGGACTACTACTGCCCTTACGTGCTTCTATTTCACTGAGAGGCAGAGCAGAATTGATGAGCCGATTGGCCTAACTCTGCTCTTACAATTTCATTGATCGGCACAGCAGAATAAATGACAATAAAGTTAATTCTAACAGAATCCACGGGCTGATCGGATCTGTGCTGCTCCTATGTCTCACGGGCTTGTCAATTTGGTTGAGTGCAAACGGTGCACCAGTTTTCCATGGGTACGCGTTAGCCACAAGCAGATTTGCATTGCACCGAATTCTGCACGCACGGTCGGGTGGGGGAGAAGTATTTGCATGGGCTACCAAATATTCCGGCGGCGATATCAGAGGGCGATTGCAGCCCGCAGTTTGCAAGGTGGGATTGATTGACAGGTGCCGTTTGATTGACAGCTTCGGTTTGATTGACACGCCGTCGCTCCACGGGCCCGCGCCTGCGCACAACTCCCGCCGACCGTTGCCCAGCCGAGGGGGCCGTCCGCCATCATCAATGACATCCCCCCGTCCCACCCCCATCAACAGTACCAGCCTAGGACCGGACAAGCCACTTACGCGATCCTGAACAACGGCTTCTCGGTACGAGCCATCAGCCGCCTCGGAAAGCCCAGCCAGCAGCGAAAGGCAGCGGCCGCCCACCTCAACAAAACGAACAGCAACAACAACAGCGGAACCCCGAGCGCCAGCCCCGCCAGGCCGCAAGCTAGCGCCGGGCTCAGCATCACCGCGCACGCGCACCCGGAACCCCGCCCCCTCCCCTACCTTATATGGCGTGGGGCGGTGCCTAGTATGATTGGCAGCACCACTCAACAAACCGACAGCGAATACCCGCCCCCATCGCCAAATAAGGAGAGGGTTGGGGCCTGGAGGAAGGCTTGGCTGCGCCCCTTTGGGGGCGGGGATACGAAGTGATTGACATCCCGGGCCCACTGATCCCGCCCCCACCCTTTCCGGCTCCCTGTGGCCCTGGATGATTGACAGCTCAACTGAGGGAGCGTCGCTAAAATCTTCACTAGCCGCGGGAGGGAGAGGGATGCAGTTTGCAGAGAGCTATTGATAGGTTGAGAAAAGTCGTGCAAAAAAAGCTGGCAAGTCGACAATAATGTGGGAAAATGTGAAGTCATTCATTTTGAAAGGGAGAGCAAAGTGTTATTTTAATGGAGAAAAACTGCAAAAAGTTGCTATACAAAGGGACTTAGTGTAAAGGTGAAATTGCTCCTCTCATTGGGGAGAGACAAATGGTGGTAGTTTAACCTGAGGGTCGCCACAGCACAGGTGAGGGGAGAGGTTGAGGAGGAAAGTTGTTCTTTTTTTTCCTTTATACATTCACGGGATGAGGGTATTGCTGACCAGGCAGCATTTATTGCCCATCCCTAATTGCCCAGAGGGCAGTTAAAAGTCAACCACATTGGTGTGGGTCTGGAGTCACATGTAGGCCAGACTAGGTAAGGATGGTAGTTTCCTTCCCCAAAGGGCATTAGTGAACCAGATGGGTATTTCCCCCAACAATCAATTCCTGGTCACCATTAGATTCTTAACTCCAGATATTTTTTAAGTGAATTCAGATAACACCATCTGCCGTGGGAGGATTTGAACCCATGACCCCAGAGTCTCTGGATTAACAGTCCAGCAATAATACCACTAGGCCATCACCTACCCTTAACTTGATGGTAACTTCAGCTGGTGTGGGAATTGAACCCATACTGGTGGCATTATTCACCAGCTGTCCAACTAACTAAGCTAACCTAAACACAAAAAAGCTAGCACACAAATGCAGGAAATAATCCGAAAGGCTACTGGTACATTGGTGTTCTTTGAAGGGGCTTGGAGTATAAGAGTTGCTGTTGAGAATGCATTTGAAGTACTGTAAGGAATTTTGGTCCCTTAATTTAGAAAAAGATATCATCTGAGAGTTCAGAGAGGGTTCACTTGGATGATCCCTGATATGAAGGGATTGTTTTGTGAACAAAGGCTAAACAGTATGGCAATTGGCTTAGAAGAATGGGAGGGGATCTCATTGAAATTTTCAGGATTATGGAGGGGCTTGACAGTGTAGATGCTGAGAGGATGTTTTCCCCTCATGGGAGAGTCTAGGACCAGAGGGCATAGCCTCAGCATAAAGGGATGCCAATTTAAAACTGAGCTGAGGAGGAATTTCTTCTCTCTGAGGGTTATGAGTCTTTGAACTTGTTGCCACAGAGAGGTGTGGGGACAGAGTCATAGAAGTGTACAGCATGAAAACAGGCTCTTCAGCCCAACATGCCCAAGACATCCAGTTTTCACAATTTAAACTAGTCCCATTTGCCTGCATTTGGACCATGTCCCTCCAAACCTATCCTATCCATGTACCTGTCTAAATATTTCTTAAATGATGAAATTGTACTCGCCTCCACCTTTGGCAGCCCGTTCCAAACATTTACCACCTTCTGTGTGAAAATAATTGCCCCTCTGAACCCTGTTGTATCTCTCCTGGGATGGGGGTGAGGGGGGAGGTGTAGGGGCAGGTGTAGCACTTCCTGCGATTGCAGGGTGTGGTGTGGCTGGAGGGGAGCATGGAGCGGACAAGGGAGTCACGGAGAGAGTGGTCCCTCCGGAAAGCAGATAAGGGTGGGGAGGGAAGTGGTGGTGGGGTCAGATTGCAGATGGTGGAACCCCAAACCACACCTCTTCCTCCATTACATTGATGACTGTATCGGTGCCACCTCGTGCTCCCACGAGGAGCTCGAACAGTTCATCCACTTCACCAACACCTTCCATCCCAACCTTAAGTTCACCTGGACCATCTCTAATACCTCTCTCTCCTTCCTGGACCTCTCTGTCTCCATCTCTGGCAACCACCTGGAAACCGATATCCATTTCAAGCCCACCAACTCCCACAGCTACCTAGAATACACCTCCTCCCACCCACCTTCCTGCAAAAATGCCATCCCCTATTCCCAATTCCTTCGCCTCTGCCGCATCTGCTCCCAGGAAGAGGCATTCCACTCCCGAACATCTCAGATGTCCTCGTTTTTCAAGGACCGCAACTTCCCCCCCTCAGTGGTCGAGTACGCCCTCGACCGTGTCTCCCGCATTTCCTGCAACTCATCCCTCACACCCCCTCCCCGCAAGAACAACCAAAACAGAATCCCCCTCATCCTCACGTACCACCCCACCAACCTCCGGATCCAACGCATCATCCTCCGACACTTCCGCCATCTGCAATCCGACCCCACCACCAAAGACATTTTTCCCTCCCCACCCTTATCTGCTTTCCGGAGGGACCACTCTCTCCGTGATTCCCTTGTCCGCTCCACACTCCCCTCCAGCTGCACCACACCCGGTACTTTTCCCTGCAACCGCCAGAAGTGCTACACCTGCCCCTACACCTCCCCCCTCACCCCCATCCCAGGCCCCAAGAAGACTTTCCACATCAAGCAGATGTTCACCTGCACATCTGCTAATGTGGTATACTGCATCCGCTGTTCCCGTTGTGGCCTCTTCTACATCGGGGAAACCAAGCGGAGGCTTGGGGACTGCTTTGCAGAACACCTACGCTCGGTTTGCATTAAACAACTGCACCTCCCAGTCGCGAACCATTTCAACTCCCCCTCCCATTCCTCAGACGACATGTCCATCCTGGGCCTCCTGCAGTGCCACAACGATGCTACCCGAAGGTTGCAGGAACAGCACCTCATATTCCGCTTGGGAACCCTGCAGCCCAATGGTATCAATTTGGATTTCACAAGCTTCAAAATCTCCCCTCCCCCTACCACATCCCAAAACCAGTCCAGCTAGTCCCTGCCTCCCTAACCTGTTCTTCCTCCCACCTCTCCCCCTTTATCCATCTTCTATCCGCCTCCCCCTCTCTCCCTATTTATTTCAGAACCCCCTTCCCCTCCCCCATTTCTAAAGAAGGGTCTCAGCCCAAAATGTCAGCCTTCCTGCTCCTCTGATGCTGCTTGGCCTGCTGTGTTCATCCAGCCCCACACCTTGTTATCTTAAAGGAAGTGGTAGAGACAGGTAAGGTTGCAACATTTAAAAGATATTTGGACAGATACATGAATAGGAAAAATTTAAAGGGATATGGGCTAGTTCAGTTTGAGAAAATTTGTTGACATGGACATGTTGGACAGAAGGGTCTGTTTCCATGCTGCATGACTCTATAACTCTAACCTAAACATCCCTGGGCACTATGGGCAATTTAACATGGCCAATCCACCTACCCTGCACATCTTTGGACTGTGGGAGGAAACCGGAGCACCCGGAGGAAACCCACGCAGACACAGGGAGAATGTGCAAATTCCACACAGACAGTCACCCGAGGGTGGAATCGAACCCGGTTCCCTGGTGCTGTGAGGCAGCACTGTTAACCACTGAGCCACTGTGGTGATTGTTAATAGCTGTCGTGGTCACCATTACTGAGACTAGCAAGTTCCTCGGAGTGACGATAACCAATGACCTGTCTTGGACTTCCCACTTAGATGCGATAGTCAAGAAGGCACAACAATGCCCCTTCTTCCTCAGGCGGCTCAGGAAGTTTTGCATGTCCATAGGGACACTCACCCACTTCTACAGATGCATTATTGAAAGCATACTGTCCGGGTGCATAACGGCCTGCTATGGCAACTGCTCTGCCCAGGACTGTAAGAAACTACACAGCCCAGACCATCACTGACTCTATTTACACGGCTCACTGCTGTGGAAATGCGGCCAACATCATCAAAGACCCATCGCACCCTGGTAATGATCTCCTACAACCTCTTCCATCAGGCAGAAGATACAGAAGCCTGAACACATGCACCAACAGGTTCAAGAACAGCTTCTTTCCTACCATCATTAGACTAACGAATGGACATCTCTAACTTCCAATAATGCTGATCTTGCCTAGCACACGCCCTGTGCGATATAACCTGTAAGCCTCTGTCCAAGTGTTTTTATTCACCCTGTGATCTGTGTGTACTTCCTTATTGTGATCTGCCTGTACTGCTCGTAAATAAAACTTTTCACCATACTCTGGTGACAATCGATCAATTCCAGACAGGTTAATCGAATTTAAACTTCACCTTCCACTGCAGTAGGATTTGACCCCTGCTCTTACCGTAACAATCTAGGCCGCTGGATTTCCTAATTCACTGGAATAACCGTGATACTACCAGCTCCATTCTGTAAGGGAGCCCAATAAGACTTATAACATCTAGAATCCTGCTGCATTTTTAATTTGCCCAGCCACTTCCAATGATTTGTTCACGTACCAGGCTTCCCTCTACTTGCACCTTGAAAAGACTCCCCTTTTTCCTTTTAATTCCTATTTTTGTGAAGAACCTTCCAAAAACTAATCAAGCAATTAATATGTGTTTTATTTCTTCTGTGTCGCACATTATAATGCACGCAGCAACCAACAGCTCCCATATTTCCTGTTCTTTAAAATTAATTCCACATGTCAAACTATTTCCAAAGCAACTAAAGAAAGTGTAAAGACCGTCTTAGAGGCCTGCAGCACAGAAAAAGGCCGTTCAGCCCATTATCTGCCCTGGTCAAAAACAAGTGCCCAACTATAATCTAACCTAGTTTAAAATCATCTCTTTTTACTTTTGTGCTTTTAAAAACTGTGGGCTCAAACGAGAAAGAATGGATCGAAGCCAGGGATTAATAAGGATTGCTGAATGTTTGTAAGTAAGCAATTTGATACCTGTTGTGAAATGTGTTTATATGGCTGTGGGTTCCAGCAATGTGTAGTCAA